TTCTTGATGCTGAGTAGTATTCCACAATTGATACTCTGCTTCTTCTTGATGCTGAGTAGTATTCCACAATTAATGCTCATGGAGGCAGCAGTGAGAGCTCAAGCAACACATTGCAGTAGGGAAATCTGATGCACAAGACGTCTTTAAAGTGTTGGAAAACATGGATGTTATTTTGAAGACTAAGGGACATCTGACTCAAGCCATGGTATTTTCAGTCACCTCATATGCATGTGAAAGTTGGACATTAAATAAAGAAGACTGAAGAAAAATCAATGCATTTGAACTACGGTATCAAAGAACATTCAGAGTATCATGGACTGCCCAAGAAATCCCAAACAGATGTGTCTTGGAAGAAGAGCAGCCAGCATGCTCCTTAGAGGCAAGGATGGCGAGACTTCCTCTCAGGAAGGTTGGCCATGTTGTCAGGAGAGACCAGTCCCTGAAGACTGATGTCATGCTTGGTAACGTGGAGGGGCAACAAAAAAGAGGAAGGCGCTTGAAGATATGGATTGACACAGTGACTGCATCAATGGGCTTAAACAGAAGAACAATTGTTAAATGGCGCAGGACCAGGCCGTGTTGAATTCTGTTGTACACGGGTCATTATGAGTCAGAACTGGCTCAGTGGGACCTAACAACCGCAGTATTCTATTGCTCTTTTACATTGTTTGGCTGTAATAACCACAATTCATCCATTCTTCTTTTTTTTTTAACCATTCTTTTAAGAACATACTGTTTGCAGATTTTGGCTATTACATGTAGAGCTGCTATGAACAATCATGTTGATGGACCAGTTTTTGTGTCTCCGGTTTTCATTTCTCTAGGTTAAATGTCTATGTGGATTCTGGGTTGTATCACAGGTAAATGCTTAGTTGTATGAGAAAGGCCCAGACTATTTTCCAGAGTGGCTGTGCTATTTTAAATTCCAATGAACTGCATCAGAGAGATCTATGTATTCTGCATCCTTGTCAGCATTTGCTATTACCAGTTTAAAAAGTTCCAAAAATCCCTTTGGTTCTATATTTAGAATGGTTGTGTAGTAATAGCTCCTTATAGCCTTAATTTGAATTTTTAAGTGGTTAATAATATGAACATCTTTCCCTTTATTAATCTGCCATCTGTATATCTTTCATGAAATATCTCTTCCTGTCTTATGCTCATTTTATAGTGAACTATTTTTAATACTGAATGTTTGGAATTCTTTATGCATTGTAGATATGAACTCATTTTCATTGTAAAAATCGCATGCCATCAGACTTGATCTAAAGTTGCGAGGCAAGAGAATCCAAGTCAGTCCAAGGCAGTTTTCTTTCTTTTTTTTTTTTTAAATACTTTTATTGGGGGCTCATACATCACTCTCTTTTTTTTTAAATCGTTTTATTAGGGGCTCATACGACTCTTATCACAATCCATACATACATCAATTGTGTAAAGCACATTTG